AAACATTGCGCTTGGTCAATTTTTATGCTGTTCTCTAAGCCACTTCCTTAGAACCACCTTCTAATTCACTAACTCTCTCTTTGTCTATGTCCATCTAAGATAATGTGTATCTCATTTATTGAGGGTTTATTCCCCCAATAACTTACTTTTTTCATTTAGGAAATTATTTTCAGGATTTCTAATTTTTTTATTAATTTTTAATTTTTAAACTTTTCATTTTGAAATAATTTTAGATTTACAGAAGAGCTTCAGAGATAGCATAGCAAATTCTTGTATATCCTCCACCCAACTTTCCCTAATGTTAACAGTTACATAATGTCTTGCATAACTCTGAGACATTTATCAAAAAAACTAAACTTAATACCATACTATTAACTTTATTCAGATTTCCTTAATTTTTCTTTTTCTTTTTTTCTGTTCAGCATCCAATCCAAGACACCATGTTGAATCCAGTTGTCAAGTCTCAAATCCGTGATCGTTTCTCAGTCTTTCATTGTCTCATGACCTTGGCATTTTTAAAGAGTACTGGGCAGGTTATTTTGTCTAATGTTCCCCAATTTAGGTTTTTGTCTGATATTTTCTGTTAAACTAGGCTTATAGATTTTGGGGAAGAATGCTACAGAGATAAAGTGCCCTTCTCATCACATCATATAAGGGGGTATATGATATAGTCTGACATTATTATTTAGGTTAACTTGATCACTTGGTTAAGGTGGTATCTCCATTGTGCAGTTGCTATTTTTCCCTTTCCATATTCTATGCATTAGAAGTGAGTCACTGAGTCCAGTCAATACTGAAGAAGAGAGAAACTGAGCTGTGCTTCCTGGACAGAGATGAATCAAAGAATATGTGTTCTTTATTTATTTATTTAGAGACAGGGTCTCACTATATCTCCCAGGCTGGTCTCAAACCCCTGGCCTTGAATGATCCTCCTGCCTTGGCTCCCCACAGTGCTGGGATTATAGGCGTGAGCCAATGCGCCAGGTCTCTTTTTATGTTTATTCAATTTGTTATTCTTCCTTTATCCCTTTGAGGATCCGAGGCATACTTGTGTTGAAGCCTTCTATTTCTGTTGTTTATTTTCTTAGATTGAGAGTATCTGTGAAAGGAGTCTTCTAAAGATTATTCTTTTTTTTTTTTTTTTTTTTTTTTGCATTTATCTAGAGTGAATTACCCTCCTAATTATGGAGGATTTTATTTTGCTTGTTTTTTGGTTTTTTTTTTTTTGTGTGTGTGTGTGTGTGTGTGTGTGGTGAGGAATCTGTCCTCTCTACGATTAATTTTAATAAGTTGAGGAAATTTATTTGCGGGTTCATCTTAGAGTGGGAAGTTTTGCAATTTTGTTCAGTTTCGTTTTGCTATATCCTTCCTTCTTTCTCACTGCTCTCACCATCCTTATCTAGGGTTTTTGCGAATTCAGTCACGGCCCTGTATGTTTGGCATAGATCCCGGTTTTGTGGCCATGTCTATGTTGGCCTGGTTCCTAGGTATGAAAGTTACAAAAGCTGCCATCCCAGGCAGCAGAGGGCAGCAGCTTATTTCAGCCTCATTTTCTCACCTCAGCCCCTAGTTTTATGAACTGAGACAGATTCCAACCCACTCTGAATGGAGCATTTTCCTCTATCAGATTACTTTTTTACTTTGAAAAAAAATACATCTACATGTATTTTTGAGAGTAGGTCTCACCCTGTTGCACAGGCTGGAGTGCAGTGGCTCAATCATAGCTCACTGCAACCTCCACTTTCCCAGGCTTAGGTGATTCGCCACCTCAGCCTCCCAAGTAATTGGGACTACAGGTGCAAGCCACCATGCCCAGCTAATTTTCATATTTTTTTTATAAACAGGGTTTTATCATGTTGCTCAGACTAGTCTCGAACTCCTGGCCTCAAGTGATCCACCCACCTCTGCCTCCCAAAGTGCTATGATTACAGGTGTGAGCCACCATGCCCAGAAAAAATAATGTTTTTAATAAACACAAAAATAAAATAGATAAGTTCTCATAAAATTACTATATTTAAACAATAAGGGCCAGGCGCGGTGGCTCACGCCTGTAATCCCAGCACTTTGGGAGGCTGAGGCGGGTGGATCATTTGAGGTCAGGAGTTCAAAACCAGCCTAGCCAACACGGTGAAACCCCATCTCTACTAAAAATACCAAGATTAGCTAGGCATGGTGGTGGGCACCTGTAATCCCAACTACTTGGGAGGATGAGGCAGGAGAATTGCTTGAGGTCAGGAGGCAGAGGTTGCAGTGAGCCAAGATCACACCATTGCACTCCAGCCTGGGCAATAGAGCAAGACTCTGTCTCAGAAAACAAATGAACAAACAAACAAACAAAAAACCAACAGGAAAAAATTTGTGTGTGCCATTTTATTTCAATAAATACACAAATAGGTGGTAAGAATACACACACAGTGAAGGAACATCACAATATTTATTGCGTTTATTTCTTGGAAATGGTTTTTGGTTATTGTTTTGAGACAGGATCTCCTCTCACTGCAAACTGCACCTCCTGGGCTCTAAAAACCCTCTAACCTCAGCCCCACCCCCATTAGCTGGGACTACAAGTGCACACCACCACACCTGGCTACTTTTTGTATTTTTTTGTAGTAACAGGGTTTCACCATGTTGCCTGGGCTGGCTGTAAACTCCTAGCCTCAACTGATCTGCCTGCCTCGGTCTCCCAAAGTGCTGGGATTACAGGCATGAGCCACCACCAGCTGATAATGGTCTTTAAAGACATTTCTGGACATTTGTGATCAGAGGAAAAATGTTGCCTAATAGTCTAATAATTTTTAGAAAATATTTGTTCCATTTTGTAAGCCATTTTATTTTTCTATCATTAGTTGATGCCTGTGTGTGTGTGTGTTTTTCTTTTTTTTTTTTTTGGTGGGGGGGTACCAAATTTCTTTATTTGAACGAATGGTACAAATCAAAGAACTTAAGTGGATGTTCAGGTACAACTTACAGAAAAGGTAAAGGAAACCCCAACATGCATGCACTGCCTTGATGACCAGGGAATTCACCCCATGGCTATGGGGAAATTAGCCTGAGGCTTAGCTTTCATTATCGCTGTCTCCCAGGGTGTGCTTGTCAAAGAGATACTCTGCCAAGCCAGATTCGGGTGCTCCCATCCTGCGCAAATTGGTCACGTGGTCACCCAATTCTTTGGTGGCTTTCACCTGCTCATTCAGGTAATGTGTCTCAATGAAGTCACACAAATGGGGGTCATTTTTGTCAGTGGCCAGTTTGTGCAGTTCCAGTAGTGACTGATTCACATTTCTTTCCAAATGTAACGCACACTCCATCGCATTCAGCCCGCTCTCCCAGTCGTCATAGTCTGGTTTCTTGATATCCTGAAGGAAGATTCGGCCACCTCCTTGGTTCTGCAGCTTCATCAGTTCTCGGCATGTTCCCTTTCCTCATGAGATTGGTGAAGAAAGTATTTGGCAAAGTTCTTCAAAGCCACATCATCGCGGTCAAAGTAGTAGGACATGGACAGGTAAACGCAGGAAGCGTAGAGCTCCAGGTTGATCTGGCGGTTGATGGCAGCCTTTGAGTCCTGGTGGTAGTTCTGGCGCACCTGCGAGGTGGACGCGGTCGTCATGGCGGAGGCTAAGGACAGGCGGCGGTGGCGGCGGTGGCTGCGCGGCGCTGGAGCGGCAGCGGGGGCCTTGGGGCGATCCGAGGGCGCGGTGAAGAGGTGACTGAGGGCTGGCTACGGGCGGCCGGCCGGGATGGAGGACCAGCGCCGGTTCCGTCCAAGCACTGTTGAAGCAGGAAACCCCGATGACTCTCCGCAAAGAACGTCTGGCCTATGTGTTTGTTTTTATGCCAAGATCGTGTTGTATTTGAGTCAAAAAATATGACTGATGGAAGACTCCTCAACAAAATTGGTAGGTAATATTTGTGTACAATTTTTATATTTATATATAACCCCACATTAGTCATTTCAGAAATGGATGAAGGCGGTAGGAAGATAGCGTGAGTAGGATGAGGTACATTGTTTTTCTTCCAATTAGCTATTTGTCTCTTATTTTTTATTTTTGTTTTATTTTATTTATTTATTTTTTGAGATGGAGTCTTGCTCTGTTGCCCAGGCTGGAGTGCAGTGGCACGATCTCGGCTCACTGCAACCTCTACCTCCCGGGTTCAAGTGATTCTCCTGCCTCAGCCTCCCTAGTAGCTGGGATTACAGGTGCCTGCCACCATGCCCAGCTAGTTCTTGTATTTTTAGTAGAGACGGGGTTTCACCATGTTGGCCAGGCTGGTCTCAAACTCATGACCTCAAGTGATCACCTGCCTCAGTCTCCCAAAGTGCTGGATTTACAGGCATGAGCCACCTTGTCCAGCGGATTTTTTAAAAATAAATTTCTTGGCTAGGCGCAGTGACTCATGCCTGTAATCCCAGCACTTTGGGAGGTCAAGACAGATGGATGACTTGAGGTCAGAAGTTTGAGACAAGCCTGGCCAACATGGTGAAACCCCGTTTCTACCAAAAATACAAAAACTAGCGGGATTTGGTGGCGGACGCCTGTAATCCCAGCTACTCGGGAGGCTGAGGCAGGAAAATTGCTTGAAGTTGAGAGGTAGGGGGTTGCAGTGAGCCGAGATCACACCATTGCACTCCAGCCTGGGTGACAAGAGTGAGACTCCATCTCAAAAAAATAAATAAATAAATTACTTGATCTTATTAAGTAGAAAAGTTTTGTCTCTTCCTTTATTTTCTTATCTTTTTTTTTTTTTTTTTTTTTTTTTTTGAGACGGAGTCTCGCTCTGTTGCCCAGGCTGGAGTGCAGTGGCTGGATCTTGGCTCACTGCAAGCTCCGCCTCCCAGGTTTACGCCATTCTCCTGCCTCAGCCTCCCGAGTAGCTGGGACTACAGGTGCCCGCCACCTCACCTGGCTAGTTTTTTGTATTTTTTAGTAGAGACGGGGTTTCACTGGGTTAGCCAGGATGGTCTCGATCTGCTGACCTCGTGATCCGCCCGTCTCGGCCTCCCAAAGTGCTGGGATTACAGGCTTGAGCCACCGCGCCCAGCCTATTTTCTTATCTTATTAAGGTTACAAATAAAAGTAAGATTGTTTAACAGGCAGGAGCAACAGAAAACAAGGACTCGAAACTTTACAAACTCTGTGATCAATTAATGAATGATTGGAAATTGTACTGAGAATGATGGCTCGCACCTGTAGTGCCAACTAATGTGGAGGCTGAGGCAGATGGATCCCTTGAGTTGTGAGTCCAGCCTGGACAACATAGTGAGACCCTGTCTCTAAATAAATAAATTTTAGAAACCAGAAATTGTCTGTACTGTACTTAGCACAAATTCTATCAATGTATGCCAAATTATACATAACATATAGAAATAGAATCTCTGCTGTCAAAGTAGTAGATGTTCTGGATAAAACATTTCAGGTTCTGAATACAGAGAAAACATGAGAGTACAAGGGAAATGCTAAAATAACTACTACTTGCAACTTCAACTGGACCCAGATATTTAATCTAGTAGTAGTGTTGAAAATTATGGGCCTGGCATGGTGACTCACGCCTGTAATCCCAGCACCTAGGGAGGCCAAGGCATATAGATCACTTGAGCTCAGGAGTTCAAGACCAGCCTGTGCAACATGGTGAAACCCCATCTCTACAAAAAATACAAAAATTAGGCGGGCATGGTGGCATGCACCTGTAGTCCCAGCTACTTATGAAGCTGAGGTGGGAGGATGGCTTGAGCCCAAGAGGCAAAGGTTGCAGTGAGCCGAGATCATACCACTGCCCTCCAGCTTGGGCCACAGACCCTGCTCTCAAGGCCGCGGCGGCAGCATGGCAGGGGCGCGGCATCAGCAGCCGCAGCGGCAGGTGGCCCAGGGGGTGTTTCTGTCGGGTCGCATGGTCTGGCGGCAGCATGGTGGACTACCTGATCAGCCGCACACCGGCTACCTGCTCGAGGACAGGCTCACAGCGCAGCAGCTCTTCGCCAGCGCCCACAGTCTCACCTACCATGACTTCCTGATTCTCCCAGGATTCATACACTTCACAGCTGATGAGGTGGACCTGACCTCAGCCCTCACCCGGAAGATCACGCTGAAGACACCGCTGATCTCCTCCCCCATGGACACTGTGACAGAGGCTGACATGGCCATCGTGATTGCTCTGATGGGAGATATTGGTTTCATCCACCACAACTGCACCCCAGAGTTCCAGGTCAAGGAGCTGCGTAAGGTTAAGAAGTTTGAACAGGGCTTCATCACGGACCCCGTGGCGCTGAGCCCCTCGCACACTGTGGGTGATGTGCTGGAGGCCAAGATGTGGCATGGCTTCTCTGGCATCCCCATCACTGAGACGGGCACCATGGGCAGCAAGCTGGAGGGCATCGTCACCTCCCAAAATACCAACTTTCTTGCTGAGAAGGACCATACCACCCTCCTTAGTGAGGTGATGATGCCAAGGATTGAGCTGTGGTGGCTCCAGCAGGTGAGACGTTGAAAGAGGCAAATGAGATCCTGCAGCGCAGCAAGAAAGGGAAGCTGTCTTTCGTCAATGATCGTGATGAGCTGGTGGCCATTATCACTGGCACTGACCTGAAGAAGAACCAAGACTACCCTCTGGCCTCCAAGGATTCCCACAAGCAGCTGCTGTGCGGGGCAGCTGTGGGCACCTGTGAGGATGACAAATATCACCTGGACCTGCTCACCCAGGCGGGCATCGACGTCATAGTCGTGGACTCATCCCAAGGGAACTCGGTGTATCAGATCACCATGGTGCATGACATCAAACAGAAGTACCCCCACCTCCAGGTGATTGGGGGAAACATGGTGACAGCAGGCCAGGTCAAGAACCTGATTGATGATGGTGTGGACCGGCTGTGCGTGGGCATGGGCTGTGGCTCCATCTGCATCACCTCGGAAGTGATGGCTTGCGGTCGGCCCCAGGGCACTGCTGTGTACAAGGTGACCAAGTATGCCTGGCACTTTGGTGTGCCCATCGTAGCCTATGGAGGCATCCAGACCGTGAGGCACATGGTCAAGGCCCCAGCCCTTGGAGCCTCGACAGTGATGATGGGCTCCCTGCTGGCCGCCACCATGGAGGCCCCTGGTGAGTACTTCTTCTCAGAAGGGGTGTGGCTCAAGAAGTACCAGGGCATGGGCTCACTGGATGCCATGGAGAAGAGCAGCAGCAGCCAGAAATGATACTTCAGTGAGGAGGATAAGGTGAAGATCACGTAGGGTGTCTAGGGCTCCATCCAGGACAAAGGGTCCATTCAGAAGTTCATGCCCTACCTCATAGTGGGCATCCAGCATGGCTGCCAGGATGTCGGGGCCCACAGCCTGTCTGTCCCTCCGTCCATGATGTACTCAGGAGAGCTCAAGTTTGAGAAGCGGATCATGTCAGCCCAGATCAAGGGTGGCGTCCATGGTCTGCACTTTTAGGAGAAGCAGCTGTACTGAGGACAACAGTGGAGGCCAAGGTGGTGGAGGGGGCGCACCCCAGTGTACCCCTTCAGGCACAGCCTCCCTCCATAACTGAGTGGTCTGCAGATTTGCACTATGGGTTCCCCAGCTCCTTTCCAGGGAAAGAGCAGGGGAGGCCCTGAGGGGTCTGCAGGCCCTCGCTGGGGATCCCCTGCAGAGTCAGGACTGCTCCCTGGGCCAGGCTGCCCTGGGAGCCCCCTAAGCCCAGCCAGCTGGGTTCTCAGGCCCTGTGCCTGCCTCAGGTCTTTCTTGCTGCAGCCTGCTCCAGCCCAGCCCTCATCCCGGGGCAGGCAGCCCCTCCTGGCTTCTCCTGTAGGGCACCTCCCTGCCCCCAGCCCCCCAGAAAATGGTGCTCTCCTGGCCCTGCCTCTGGCCCTTCCTGAGCCGCTGCCCCCTCAGCCATGTAGCACTTCTGAGCTCCTGACCTAGGCCAAGGGGAGGTCTCTGCCCCCTTCCCTGGCCCTGGGCTACCCTTGGGTCCTGCTCCTCAGGCCACTCCCCTGTCCCTGGCCCTGGGGAGGGGTCTGCCCTGGTCATGGCCACCTGCCTGTCATTCCTGACTTATCACCGTCCCCAGTGAACCATTCCTGCCCTCTCCTCAGCTGCAGTTGAAGGCTTTAACTTTGCATACTTTGGGATCACAGTTGCATCATTGTGTATTAAATAATTGGAATAAATCAAGCAGGTCTCAAAGCCAAAAAGAAAAAAAAAGGAAGGAAGGAAGGAAGGAAGGAAGGAAGGAAGGAAGGAAGGAAGGAAGGAAGGAAAGAAGGGAGAAAAGAAAAGAAAATTATGTAGACCAGAGTTCATGGGTTCCAGCTCTGGCTTATCTCTCGTCTGGTTGCATGACTTGTCATTTTTGGCCTTAGTTTTCTTTAAAACTATGAGTTTAAGACATGAGCTGTCTCTCCATATCTCCCATTTTTTTTTTTTTTGAGACAGTCTCACTCTGTTGCCCAGAGTGTAGGGGCACAATCTCAACTCACTGCAACCTCCGCCTCCCAGGTTCAAGAGATTCTCCTGCCTCAGCCTCCTGAGTAGCTGGGATTACAGGCATCCGCCACCATGCCCAGCTAATTTTTGTATTTTTAGTAGAGGCGAGGTTTCACCATGTTGGCCAGGCTGGTCTCAAACTCCTGACCTCAAGTGATCCATCCGCCTTAGTCTCCCAAAGTGCTGGGATTACAGGTGTGAGCCACCTCGCCTGGCCTATATCTTCCACTTTTTTTTTTTTTTTTTTTTTTGAGACGGAGTCTTGCTCTGTCACCCAGGCTGGAGTGCAGTGGCCGGATCTCAGCTCACTGCAAGCTCCGCCTCCCGGGTTTACGCCATTCTCCTGCCTCAGCCTCCCGAGTAGCTGGGACTACAGGCGCCCGCCACCTCGCCCGGCTATTTTTTTGTATTTTTTAGTAGAGACGGGGTTTCACCGTGTTAGCCGGGATCGTCTCTCGATCTCCTGACCTCGTGATCCGCCCATCTCGGCCTCCCAAAGTGCTGGGATTACAGACTTGAGCCACCGCGCCCGGCCCTATATCTTCCACTTTTAATAACCTAGGCCCAGGATCTGAAAAATATTTCCACAGTGAGTGAAGTAATTACGATTCCATGCCTCAGAGACCTCCAACATCTCTATGTCATCAGAGAGCCGTTTTTGCGCGCTTTCCATCTGTGTTCATTTGTGTCCTATGTACCCCGGGTCTCTTTCCTTGCTATGTTTTTATTATGTTCGTATGAATTAAAATCCAAAATCCTTTTTCCTAACAGAAATACTTTCCTCCTGAGCTCTTACTTGCCCCTTTGCTAGCAAAGATGGTTAATTACCTCCAACACATGAAGGGTAGAGTCAAACAGGGAATTGTATTAACATCTGCTTTGTTTGTTCCTGGAAACCTATGCAAATAAACAAAAGAAAATATTGTTACTAAGCAAGTATAACACAATTTAGTTTGCCCAAAGCACTTTATAGTATTTCCTATTGTTTATTATTCCTGCCAAGACCAAGGCAAGAGAAGGTAACAGGTGCGAGTCCATTAATGAGCCTCTAGCAGCACATTGCACTGTGATGAAATGGTTACAAGAATTGAATTGGAGGAGTGGGGTTAGAGAAGATTGGAACTGTTGGGGTTTTTATTTGAGGCTACAAAATAGTATAGTTTGAGAGCCAGACACTGTGGCTCACGCCTGTAATATCAGCACTTTGGGAGGCCAAGGCATGCGGATGACTTGAGGTCAGGAGTTTGAGACAAGCCTGGCAAACATGGGGAAACCCTGTCTCTACTAAAAATACAAAAATTAGGGCTGGGCGCGGTGGTTCATGCCTGTAATCCCAGCACTTTGGGAGGCCGAGGGGGGCGGATCACCTGAGGTCGGGAGTTCGAGACCATCCTGACCAACATGGAGAAACCCCGTCTTTACTAAAAATACCAAAAAAATCAGCCAGGCGTGGTGGGGGGCGCCTGTAATCCCAGCTACTCAGGAGGCTCAGGCAGAAGAATCGCTTGAACCCGGGAAGCATAGGTTGCAGAGAGCTGAGATTGCGCCATTGCACCCAGCCTAGGTGATGAAGTGAGACTCTGTCTCACAAAAAAAAAAAAGAAATGTCCAGGCCAGGTGTGGTGGCTGATGCCTGTAACCCCAGCACTTTGGGAAGCTGAGGTGGGTGGATCACCTGAGGTCAGGAGTTTGAGACCAACCTGGCCAACATGGTGAAACCCCATCTCTACCAAAAATACAAAAATCAGCCAGGTGTGGTGGTGCAAGCCAGTAGTCCCAGCTACTTGGGAGGCTGAGGCAAGGGAATCACTTGAACCCGGAAGGCAGAGGTTGCAGTGAGCTGAGATCGTGCTGCTGCACCCCAACCTGGGCAGGAAAGTGAGACTCTGTCTCACAAAGAAAAAAAAGAAATTTCCAGAACCTCAGAAGGCTCCCTGAGGTCCCCCGCCAGTTAGTAATCCTGCTTAAGGGTAATGACTGACTTCTCTTACCATGGATCAGTTGTACCTGTTTTCATACTTCATAAACATGAAATTAGGCATTTACTAATTACATTTAGGAATTACTGCTTTGGTTGGGCTCAGTGTCTCATACCTGTAATCCCAGTACTTTGGGAGGCCAAGGCGGGAGGATCGCTTAAGCCTAGGAGTTCAAAACCAGCCTGGGAAACAAGGCGAGACTCCGTCTCTACAAAAAAAAAAAATAATAAACTGGGTGTGGTGGCACACGCATGCCATGCCACTGCACTCCAGCCTGGGCAAAAAAGCGAGAACTTGTCCCTCAAAAAATAAAAATAAAAAAAGGAATTACTGCTTTGTGTTTGATTTTTTTTGGAGATGGGGTCTGGATCTCCCAGGCTGAAGTGCAGTGGTATGATATTGGCTTTCCACCTGCAACCTCCACCCTCTGGGCTCAAGTTATCCTCCCACCTTAGCCTCCCAACTCCGAAGTAGCTGGGACTACAGGCGCATGCCACCCAACCCAGCTAATTTTTGTATGTTTCTATAGAGACAGGATTTTCCTATGTTGCCCATGCTGGTCTCAAACTCCTGAGTTCAAGCAATTTACCTGCCTCAGCTTCCCAAAGTGCTGGGATTACAGGGGTGAGCCCCATGCCCAGCAGCGTGGTGTTTGATTTCTTTTTCCTTTCTTTTTTTTTTTTTTTTTTTTTTTTTGAGACGGGATCTCGTTCTGTTGCCCAGGCTGGAGTGCAGTGGCTCGATCTTGGCTTACTGAAGCCTCAGTCTCCTGGGTTCAAGCCATTCTCCTGGCTCAGCTTCCCAAGTAGCTGGGACTACAGGCGCCTGCCACCATGCCCAGCTAAATTTTTGTATTTTTAGTAGAGGCGGGGTTTCACCATGTTAGCCAGGATGGTTGCCCACTAATTTTTGTATGTTTAGTAGAGATGGGGTTTTGCCATGTTGGCCAGGCTGGTCTCAGAATCCTGACCTCAGGTGATCCGCCCACCTCAGCCTCCCAAAGTGCTAGGATTACAGGCATGAGTCACTGTGCCTGGCCAAGAGCTCACCATTTCTATGCAAACAACACAGAATGAAAGTCCATTTTGGAAATTTAATTCACAATTGCTTTCAAAAACTGCAGGCCGGGTGCGCTGGCTCACGCCTGTAATCCCAGCACTTTGGGAGGCCAAGTTGGGCCAATCACCTGAGGTCAGGAGTTTGAGACCAGCCTGGCCAACACAGTGAAACCCCGTCCCTACTAAAAATACAAAAATTAACCAGGCCTGGTGGCGCATGCCTGTAGTCCCACCTACTTGGGAAGCTGAGGCGGGAGGATCGCTTGAACCCAGGAGGCGAAGGTTGCAGTGAGCTGAAATCGTGCCACTGGACTCCAGCCAGGACGACAGAGCAAGACCCTGTCTAAAAAGTAAAATAATAAAATAATAATGATAATAAAGTAGTAGAGTGACTGGGGGAAAAAGTACTCAGGGCACGTAACTTTACTCCAAGAATGGCATTCTTAGTGAGCCTCACTGCTGAAACTGCCTGCTGTAATCTGAAAGCAGTTTTATCTAATACCTGTTAAAACAGCCTACTGTGACTCTCAGAAATAGTTTTACTTATTGCCTTCACTTACCAATCAAAACATGCCAGCTCCATCTCAAAAAAAAAAAAAAGTTAGCTGGGCAAGGGTGGCAGGCGCCTGTAATGTGAGCTACTCAGGAGGCTGAGGTAGGAGAATCACTTGAACTCAGGAGGCAGAGGTTGCAGTGAGCCAAGATCATACCAATGCACTCCAGCCTAGGCTACAGAGCAAGAATCCATCTCAAAAAAAAAAAAAAAAAAAAAGGTGAGCTCTGCTATAAGGTGCATTTGGGGATGGTTCCTGGGATGTGAAGATGAAGTAAAGGAACTTTGAGTAAGAGCCTGCAGCAGTTCCCAGTGTGCCCCTCTTGGCACTAACAGAGGAAACTGGGATCCAAGCCCAGCCCAGCCCAATCTGAGCCGAGAGATTCTCAAAGGATTCCAGACTCTTGCCCAAGGGCTCCTGGGTTATCCAGAGCATTGCAGGGCAAGACAGAACTAGAACAGACTCAAAAAAGAAAGCTGACCCACTCCTGACCCACTCACTATGTGCATATCTCTAAAGGGACAGGCCTGACCAAATAAGATGGAGCTGCCTTTCCCAAGACATTAGGGGTTAGTGGCAGTGCCGACTTGGGATGACAGGAGACCCTGCTTCAATCTGGTCTTTGGTTCAGCTTGGAAAACAAATCCAAATCTCCTTGTTGACAGAACTTCAGATGGTCCAACAGAGCTCCTTGGAGGTATGAGGCCTGAGGCCTGAAGCCTGAAGGGACCAGCAGGTAATTGGGCACCACAGCCTGAGGGCAATCGGCCCCAAGCAAGAGCATCCTACTTCCTCGGAGGGTTTGTTTGCTTGAGGAAAATGAAGGCTGGCAGTCATATTCCTTCAGGATCTTCCAAAAATGTTGGCAAGGGTGATCCTGATGAAGCCCCCTTGTTTGGTGGCCAACGCCAGCTCTAACTGGACTGGCAAGCCAAAAATGACCACTCTTTCCTGTGGTTCAGAATTCCTAAACTGCCCTAATGGAGACGCAACCTGAATCCAAGAGTAAGGCAGGCAGCGACAGATAAGTTACAGCGTGATGCCTACTTCATAAAGCACAAAAGACCATGTGATTTAGATGGCGGGTCATGGAAATCTAAAGGGGATGGTGAAGTCGCACCGTAAGGGGAAGGTGATGAGGGGCTGAAGCAGTTCGGACAGGAGAAAGGATCAGGAGGAGACAGAGCGGAGAATGGAGCCTGAGGGCTACCCAGGGGTGGGAAGAGGGTAGCCGGAGACCCGTGGGTCGGCCTGGGTTGGTTGTGCTGGGCAGGTTCTCAGCGGTGGGAAAGTCTGGCCACACTGCCTTGGCTTCCTGACTGGACTTCACTTTGACGGGTGGGGGCGGCTTCTGTCCCAACCCTCACCCCCCTGTCCAGCCCTTGGAGCCAGA